CATTAAAGAGAGGCCATGGCTTTGTTGCCTATTTACAAAGAGTGTACCCCGATTATTGTGAGGATTATGTTGTCTTTGCTTGCACGCTGATTATAAGTTCAACATATACTATTTCAGAATTATCTGTTTATTAAAAAATATCGATTAACTTTTTATTATAATTACATAACTATTCAAGTGATTTAAGCGAGACTCTATAGATGCCGTAATTATTTTATTTGTATATTTATTTTATCACTATTTGATTCACAATGAGAACTAATTTAGACAGGAAAAAAAATTATATGAAAGTATTTAAACGTAGACCTTCTTAAAAACTATATTTCATTCTTAATTTGATTTTTTTTAATATGACTACCTTCAGTTATGAAGCGATCCGTTAGAAATGGCGCACGAGGTTGTCGCCAAGCATATACAAATAAGGTAAAATATGACCCGAATAAGTATAAACTAGAAAAAGAAAAAGTACCAGAGTGCATCCTTATTTCAATGACAAAGCTTTGTTGTCGTCGGTGCTGTGAAATAATTCAGTGGAAAGCTGATTACGGAAAGTATAGACCCTTAGAACGTGCACGAAAGTGCAATTTGTGCGGAAAGAAGTCTGTAGTACTAGCATATCACCATATTTGTCACGAATGTGCATGTTCCGAACGACTTTGTTCCAAGTGCCAAAGAAATCCACAAGATAATAGTGTGTATCAAGATAAAAGAGACTTTCCTGATGATTCTGACTGCTCCTTTCAACAAGAGTTATCCCTGGATGATGATAACAAGTACTCTTTCTTGAAGGAGTCCGAGTATGAGGAGCTGAAATACTTAAAGGGACTTGATGTCCGTTTATTAGAGCAAGATATAATTCGAAGGGAGTATAATAAAGAAGTAAATGAGGCTAGGAAGTCAAATGAATACAAGAGAACAGTTCCCAAGAATGAATCTTGGCCCAAAACAAATAAAGAAAGTAGCTGCAGCTCAAGTAATGATGAATTTTTATAAGAATGCTAATATTCCTTTTACGAATAATTGATAAATCCTTCAAGTAAATATATAAAATGTGTTGATTCTATTAGTTTCTAAAACTCTATTATTATGGGCACTTAAACTTTTATTTTCACATGTGTAAATGTACCTATTCACATTTTCTATTACGCTTTTTCTTTTTTAAAAAAGAATATACTCGCCAAAGGTTTTATTATTGTTATTACTATCATCAAGGTAGAAAAAAAAAGGATAGCTATGGCTGTTATTTTTTTATCCTGAAAGATAAATATGTACTACCTCCCTTTTGCTTGATCTGGCTCCTTTCAGCCCATTTGATTGGTTTGTATACTTTCAGATGACATTTAGTTTTCTTACTCTCAAAGCCACTATTTTACTGTTTCCTCCAGCTACGCTTAGTATGGAAATTTCATCAATATTTCTAGATCTTGTGATTGAGCTTTTCAATATATTGACATGCATTTATTGAAACCTTACTGAGTGTAGATTTCCTGTAGTTGTCTCAACTAATCTGCTTTTTTTTGTTGAAGTTGTAGATGTATTCTATAAGTGACTTCAAACTTATGTCATAATTCATGATTTAGCATTTTCAACAATTGTACTAAATTCAGGCGCACGTTTCTGTCCAGGTTCTGAAGACTGGGAAATACTCTTCGAAGGCATGAAGTTGCATTTTTATACCATATCATAGTAAGATGAAAAAAAAATAGTAATTTGAAAATGTTGATGTGTTTTTCATTTGTAAATTTATTATTTGAGAAAATAAGTTTAAATATTTATGGTCCAAGGGTTTTTATTCTATGTTTACATATACATTGAAGTTTACCTCTGTCATAGTTTTTGTTTCAATTTTTATTCACTGATAATGTTAAAAGCAACAGGGTATCGATTTCTTTCTCTAAAATGGAGACTACATTCTGAGCAGTTGAAACAGTGGATAGCCCTTACCACTTTTAAAGGAATGCAACTAGCTCGAACATATATGCATAACTTGAATTTAGATGAAGCTATAGAGGAAATGGATGATTGTTGTGAGCTTGTTGGTTTGATGCAAGAATGCGGGTATCCAACTGGGGGAAGACATGATCATTGGATTCGATCGTTCATTGTGATGAATGCAGATTCAATAGGGCCGCAACTAATCGTGGATATAACAAAGAGGCTTGAAACCCATCCAAACACCTTTAGCAGATTTCGTTCCACGTTTTTTTCAGAGCCAAACTTCATTTCTCGTATGAAATATAATATCACAGCCTTATCACCAGATGACTTTGCTTCTTTCGCGCATACGTTTTTGGGGCTCGCATATGGCTCTCATGACTTGTATTCTGATCTTGAGCCATTAACTTATTCTTTCAGTTCTGCCGTTTCTGCATCTCTTCGTGATGCATCTAACCCTTTTACATTGATGCTTTCTTTAGCCGAATGTAACTTACTGTTATCACATAACAGCTTGAAAGAGCTTTCCGTAGAGCTATCTATAGCGTCAAAAAAGCTTTCTCGTGAAGAAATCCGATTGCTTATTGGTCATATTTCTACACACGGCCAACAAAAACATAATTCTTGGGTGATCGATCTTCAACAATCATATTTCAGTGAACCATTATTTGATTATGAAAGAAAAGAAGTTGTTTATTTAATGAAAATGTTAGCTTACATGAAAACTGAGCCGATACCGCAAATTGTTCAATGTATTATTGCATCTATTCCACATTTACCAGGTTCTGAGCTTCTTTCCCTTGCAAGATCCATTCACCAGTATTCACTGGATATTCAGAAACAGACAGGCTTGACTGATGTGCTTGATAGTGTAAAAAATACATTAAACATTGATATGGCCTCTAAAATTAGTAATTTTGAGGAAGGAGCACAGCTAATTGCTTGTCTATCTCAGCTTAATTTCCCCGAAACAAGGCAGTTACTTTTAGATCTATTGCTGTGCTGTGATCTTTCAATGATAACAACTAAAGGTATAGCAAATACTTGTATTGCAATGAACAGCCTGGACCACTATCCTGTGGAGGCTGCAATACTCTGTAAAGCAGATCTAAATCTTTCAACGATTGACCAAGATGAAGTAATTCACATTCTTCATGCCTTTGTACAACTAAAGAGTACTGTTGATAGAACTTTAGTAAAAAAAGCTCACGGTAAATTTTCGAAAAGAGCTTTTACTCAAAGAAAGCGTGAACATCAGACTAAGCTTGATGTTTATCGAGATTCTTTAATTCTTTTAGTCATTTCTTTGGTATACTTACATGGAAATGAGGAGTTAAAAGAACTAAAAGGAATCGCTTTAGATCTTTTGGACAAAAACCTTTTTGATAAAGATGAAAAATTTTTTATCCTATCGAAGTTAAAAGATGGTGATGTGTCTTGTTATGATGTAAAAAAATACGTTGTTATGGATCTGATCAGTAGCATAGCTGACAACTTTTCATCCTTTGAATATCAACTCATCTTGGAAACGTTGTCAGATTTGGGTATCCGAGATGCCAACGCCTTTGTAAAAGTATTGAAGCACCTTAAAAGAACAAAATCTTCAATACAAAACATTTTGTGTGCGGCAAAAGCTGCTCATAAACTACAATTAATTCCACAGTTTGAAGCTTCAAACATTTCAGAAGCATTTGACAGCTTATCTGAATGTGGAACGGAGGATGTGTTTCTTTTGATGCGTTTGTGTACACCAATACAACGTACTAAAATTATTGAGAATCCTCGAATTCAAGATATCTTAAATCACGTTGATTTAAACAGCATTTCGACATCTGACTTATTTATAATGTTTAACTTATCTTTAAGCCAACGAGAAGGTCCGATTCTTGATCAGCTTGTTCTTCGTGCTCCTCTAAAAGAAACTGATATCGACGCCGAAGAAGTCATTATTGCCATGGAAAAGCTTCAAAGCAGCACACTTATGGATAAATTCGAGGGGGTATTTCGAGTAGGCAGTCGTGCACTTCAAAAGGTCAACGAAGGCCAGCTAACGCGACTTTTTAATTGTATAAAAGATTTAGCGAAGGGCCCGAATATTGTTTATCGAGTAATAGGTAGTGTGTTACTGAAAATGGTTGACAAAATTTCAGTGGACTGTGTTATGATGTGGCTTTTGTTGTACTTTGAAGCCCGCATCCGGGACAATAGTGTGGGTAGGGCATTGGCTAAGAAAGCCCTTAGACACTCAGTATTTCTTTCGAAAGAAAGTGCAAAAAAATTGCAACGCGCTGCAGAGTTCTACGGACTGACACGTGAGACACAAGTGCATAATAGGATGAAAAGGAACCAACCATTTATTGATAATCCTTTAAATTTTTAAACCGAGCAAAAATATTTATAACTGCTATCAACATGAATAAACAATTTAGATAAATTGCACAGTCTTAAATAAGATGAAATATTTTTATTGATTTTAATAAACAATATTAAAAGTTATAATCTATTAGTGCTATCGTTAAACTTTTTTTTTCTAGTATCCTCATATAATTTTTCGCAATATAGATTGTTACAACAATAGATTTACAGTTCCACACATTATCAAAAGAGGCAAATAAACTGTTAGGAATAATATTGTATATTTTACTGTAGGTGAGTTGAGCATTCTTCTACACACTATCTCATTTTAGCCTGCTTTTATTGACTATGCTCAGAAAGCGTTTGAATAAACACAATCTATGCTACAAATTAGAGAAAGTTTTGCCGCTTGTAAAGAAAAGCATTCCTGAATTATCAGGCTTGCCCTTAAGTTCAATAATAGTTGCTACAGCGTTTGCTTCTTCAAAAACTTTGGCATCTGCTTTTCATACTCCAGGTTGTCCCTTTTATTCGAGACAGCTTCCGATAACCGAGCTCATGAGTGATGCAACCTTACAAGACAAAATATGTGTTTCTTGCTTAAAGAAAGAAGTCCATTTCTTATCGTCTGAAGCCTTTTGTGATGATATGGAAATGAGATGCATTGCTGAAAGTTCTGAAGTCGATCAGGTACCACGACAGCTGCTATCTAAAATTGTGAATGATTATGGGTCATTTTCATCATTTGTAGAAGATTTAGTGTTTTTTTCATGCAATCAAGCATCACCTGGAAGGACTTGGGGAGTCTTTGATGGGAAAAAAATCAGCATTATGAGCTTACCACTCAACGTTGTGCCGTTAATATATGGTCTGTGGCCACTGGCGCTAATCAATATGTCCGAACGGTATCTTTGTGATGAAATACTTGCACTTAGTACCCAGGCGGAATTGACTGCCCATACGACATTACAGTCAACTCAAAAACCCTTTTGGAGCCGAGCTGCCCGTAATCCCTTTTCCATAATATCTGCCCCTCAGCATTACCTTTCACCACTTTCTGCAGTTAGCATTGAGGACGGCGACGAAAGGCTTCACAAAATTCGAAAACAGGTAGCCAAGAAAAGTGTAAATTTCATGCGGTGGAGTTTCGTTAACAATCAACTAATAGAAGCGACGAATTATTTTAGCTCACCAGAGCGGCGCACAGCGCACTCTGAATATCGTGCAAGAGAAGAACGAGAAGCATCGTTATTAGCGCTTCGCAACTACAAGGAGCACACGGATAATATTCATGATCTTTCTGATACTGCTGGCCCGGTTCATTCTATTTCTCTTAATGCTTCAAAACGCACTGATATTAGTCATGATATGAGTAGCCATAACGAAGGTTTGGGTCATAATAGTCGTTCTGCAGAAGTGGAAGGATATTATCGAAGTTATTGTTCTTCTGAAGTAAATCAGAAAGCGACCAACGAATCCTCTAATTTGAGTGAAGAAAAGAAAGAGACAAATAATCAAGGGCAGGAGCTATCCTTTACTTCTAGTGAATATTCCGATGCTAATGCCACCACAAAAATCGATTTACCTGATCCTAACGTCTTACAACACGCTGATGGCTCGTGGGAATATCAGTATCGAAATGGTGATCAAACTTTTGTTCTTACGGACGGCACCAAAGTCTTTAAAACTGAAGGTGTTACTACAACTGTGCGTACTGATGGTAGTACCCTTTTCGAGTATCCCAATGGGTCTGTTATCTTGGATCGCTCTGATGGTATTCGTATTACAACATACCCAGATGGAACTTCAAAGGAGGAAGATATCAATTCCTGAGTCCAACTCAATGCAATTCTTTTTTACTTATATGCTTTAATAAGGGATTTTAGAGTTCTATGAGTGCGTGTTAGTCCAGATGAATCTTGGGATGGGGTTTTTATTATCAGGATTCAGGCTTAAAAGACATGAAAGCCACATGTGAGGTATACATTATATCCTTAATTAATTGATTTTACCTTTTTATTTACTGAACACATTTTTTTCATTTATTCTAGTGCTTACATCATGTTATCTTTTATTTTACGTATATATGTATATATATATTATAACTACTGCCAACAATAAAAAATAAAATTATAAACTTTCATACCGTTTTTTCCTTCTGTACACATTGATACAGTCCAAAAGTAATTGTCAGTAAAGGTGATGCACAACAGCAGAAGTTTACTATTTTCCAGATCAACTTCCATTTTATTACAGCAATTCATCTTTGGACAACGTGGGGTATGTTGCATTCCACATCCCCAAAAAGCCTACCGTGGAGGGGAGGACGCTTTTTTTTCACATCCCTACGGAATTAGCGTCGCAGATGGTGTGGGTGGGTACTCAGAACAGGGGGTCGATCCAGCCGTCTATACTCGAAACGTTATGTCCTTTTCCTTAGAGAAAGTTAAGGAAAGCGTATGTGACTCAGGAGCTGCTTCTGCACTGGACGTACTGAATCACGGTTGGAAAATGGCAAATGCATCTGCACAGCCAGGTGGCTGTCCGGTGACTATGGCAACCATTGTGGATCATACATTTGCCTCTATTCTGAATCTTGGCGACTGCGGTATTATTCTTGTGAGGAAGAAGGAGTTGTTATATCAAACCACCACACAACAACACTCGTTCAACTGTCCGTACCAGCTTCCTCACGATACACCAGACCTCGGGGAGGGAGCTAAAATTCAGATCAGGGAGGGTGATGTGTTCCTTTGTATGAGTGATGGTGTACTTGATAATATTGATATAGATGATCTAATCAAACATTTAAATGATGTAGAACAAAGTGGCTGCAATAAAGTAGCGGAGACGATAGGCAAACATGCATCACTTAATGGACGCAATCGTGAGTTTTTTTCCCCGTTTGCTAAGCACGCTAGCCAACTAGGGTATCGATATATGGGCGGAAAACTGGATGATATTACAGCATTAGTAGCTCGTGTAACTCCGACTTCATCGATTGGCTTGATAAAGGATAACTCTTGTGCCGAATTAATTGAAGAGCTTCTTCCATTACCTGGTCATCCTAGTTGAAGAGTTGAGATGTTAACCGTTCTGGGCCA